GTATACACTGTTGTGAAGTCGATCCTGATTTGTAGTGACCCTGTATAGGGTTTCCAAGGAGCAGCTAGTGGGTTTCAACTGCTGATCTTGTGGTTTGCAGTCCATTGCTTATCCTACAGCACCACAGCAGGAGTCCAGTATATATTAGGAAGCAATTTAAATGAAAATCTCTCCTTCAGAGAACATGTGATAAACTTGTGTTTCTGATGTGTGGGGAAATGGCTACAACTTTCTGTCTTCTCAGTGTAACTTTTGTATAAAACTGCCAATGGAAATACTTACTGATGAAGATCAAAGACCACAGCCTTAGGTATGGATTGCACCTCAATGTAAAAAAAAAAAAAAAAAATCCTCTCCACTGGATCAATAAACAACATTCTTATCAACAGAGAAAAGATTGAAGTTCCCAAGGACTTCATTCTTCTTGGATCAACTAACAACACTAACAGAAGCAGCAGTCAAGAGATCAGACGACGTATTGCATTCGGCAAATCTGCTGCACAAGACCTTTGGAAAGTGTTGAAGAGCAAAGATGTCATTTTGAGGACTAAGGTGCGCCTGACCCAAGCCATGGTATTTTCAATAACCTCATATGCATGTGAAAGCTGGACAGTGAATAAGGAAGACCATAGAAGAATTGATGCTTTTAACTTACGGTGTTGGAGGAGAATATTGAAAGTACCATGGACTGCCAAAAGAACAAACAGATCTGTGTTGGAAGAAGTGCAGCCAGAGTGCTCTTTGGAGGCCAGGATGGCCAACTTAGTCTTTCATACTTTGGACATATTGTCAGGAGGGACCAGTTGCTGGAGAAGGATATCATGTTTAGTAAGGTGGAGGGTCAGAGGAAAGAGGAAGACCCCCAGCAAGATGGATTGGCAAAATGGCAGCATCATTGGGCTCAAGCGTGGCAACAATTTTGAGGTTGGCCCAGGACCAGACAATGTTTTGTTCTGTTGTGCATAGGGTTGCTATGAGTTGGTATCTACTCAATGGCACCTAACAACAACAAATGTCCACATTGTTTAGATTTCCGTCAAGGCTATATAATGATTTATCTATATTGGAATTACAAGCTCTGTAAATTCAATTTCAGAAATTGTTTCAAGTGTCCACATTTATCTGAGTATGTCTTACCTTTTATTTTTTTAGTGCTACTTCAACAAAAGTACCACAAATGGGTGCCTTAAAAGAACAAAACTTTATTTCCTTGGTTGTTATACTGGGCTGCAAACCACAAGGTCGGCAGTTCAAACCCACTAGCTTCTCCTTAGAAGCCCCATACAGGGTCACTATGAGTCAGAACCAACTCTAGGACACTTAACAGCACAGTTGTTGTTATTATGTGTTCTTGAGTCAATTCCAACTCATAGCAACTCTGTAGGACAGGATAGAATGGCCCCATAGGATTTCCAATGCTGTATATTTTTAAGGAAGCAGACTTCATCTTTCTCCCAAGGAGCGGCTGGTGGGTTTGAAACTCTGACCTTCAGTTAGCACCTGAGCACTTAACCACTGCGTCACCAGAGAGAGGTCTTTTCCTCCCAGATTAGGAGTCTAAAAGTCTGAACTCAGGGGACTAGAATTACCAAAGTGATTAGGTTTAAGACATACCCTACACTGATATGACCTCATGAACATAACAAAAAACCCTCATTTACAGAAAGGATTACATACACAGGTATAAGAGTTAAGTTTCCAACACATTTTTTTAAAAAAAAAAAAACCTTTTCTTTGTGAGTTGGGTGAAAGATTACAGAATAGATTAATTTTCTATTGAATAATTCATACACATTTTTTCTTCATGTCATAGTTTATAATCCCCTCCATTTAACATCACTTATCCCACTTCCTCCCTGTTTCCTGTTTTCATTCCTCCTTTCCTAGCCCTTCTGTACTCTGTCCTTGGGTAAGTGCTACCCTTTTGATCTCAAATGGTTGATTAAGCTAAGGTGTGTGTACCTCATCGTGGTTTTTTTTCTTCCTTTTATAGACCTATCTGTATTGTTTGGATGAAAATGGAGCCATGGAACTGAGTTCATTCCCAGACCTGAAGGGAAACTAAGGGCTAGAGTGTCAGGGATTCCACCAGTCTCTGTCCAACCAGTAAAGCTGGTCTCTTTTATGATTTTGAGTTTTGTTCCCTATTTTTTTCCCTCCTTATCCAGAACTTTTTAATGAGATCCCTTTCAGAGCAGTTGGTAATGAGAGCCAGGCACTATCTAGTTCTTCCAGGAGTCCTGGCCTAGTGCTGTAGGATAAACACACTGGCCAGCTAACCACAAGATTAGTGGTTCAAACCCACCAGCTGCTCCTTGGAAACTGTACAGGGTCACGATGAGTCGGAACTGACTTGATGGCACTTAACAACAACAACAGCATCACATAGATGTTATGGTCTCAAGGTCATGCAGACTGCTGTTCACATCCAACATATTTTGAAGGGAATAATTGAATCCATGACACTTCACAATCAGGACCTCCTTGCTCTTCCCCTTCTTTAGCTTCCTGGAGATAAAACATTTCCTTTTTAAATCTTTGACCCTACCACCTGCTTTAAATCATTATTTCTGTGAATAATGATCCCTCAGACACCAGTAGACATCTCTGCCATTTTGCCCTATCTACAACGCTCCTTCAATGACTTGATTTTTTAACTTTTCAATAGATTATTACATTGGAGTTTCTATGCAAGGTACTTTGAGTAAACATTTATAATAAATAATAGTGCAGAGGAAAGGTCCATGTATGGATGTAAAGTCTGCGAATGAGTGACATTTCTAGTCATCGTTTCAGTCATTATTTCTTGCTGTTGTTTTTCTCATGAAAATCACAATGTCTGTATCTAAACTTTTTTTAATGAAGTGATTTTCATCTCCGAGGAGTATTTATTTGTATGTTTTCTATTATATTAGTTTGCAAAATAACAAACGATTCCTCCCACAACCCTCTTATTCTTTTGGTTTCCATAATCCGTTGTAACAGGCACATAGAGCTCAGACACCATATTCAGAATTATGGGGCTTATTAAGGAAGTTAACAGGTTACATACAACTTGGGATCAGAAATGCTCAGGGTATAGTTGTTCCAGTCAGCTGCTGATCAGTGCCCATAGAACAACACACCACTCCACCATAAGCCTCAGCCTGAAGGCACTCAGCTATAACTCCATGATCAGCAGACCTAGCTGCCCCACTTAAGTGTCCAGAGGCACCCCATTCTACAAGCAAGCTTCCTGCCCAGAGTCACCCAGCTTAACTTGTTCCATGGGCTGGGAAGCCCACTGCGCTGTGTCTTGCTCTGGTTCTTGGTCCTGCTGCTGCTGTTTCTCTGCCACTCCTCCAGTGTCACAACTTTACTGTCCCTGGGTTTAGGTGGTTCAATACACAGGGATCTCGGGGTTCAAAGGACGCATTCCACTCCTGGCTCATCTTCTCTTGCTTCTGAGATGATTCATTTTAAATCCACAGTAGAGTTTCAAGTTTTTACAATTACAGTTAACTTTGCCAACATCCACAGCTGAATCATGTCTCCCTATCAGTATCTTTTCCCACCCTCTCTTACATATCATTTCTTATATTGTTAAGAATGTTTTTACTGTTTAAAAGAAGACACCTCTGTAGGAAATGTTATTCATTATGAGAGCGTTTGTGTCAAAGAATTTTTTTTTTTTCATTTTAAATTGAAAAATATGCAATATGCTAACATTAAAAAGATGCATATAGACTTATGCTTATGCATATTGACCAATAAAAGTTTCAAGATAGTTTGCTCATAGAAAAAGATGTGTAGCGTATGTGTACTATAACATGAACTCATGCTTACTTAAAAAATATTATACGAGTATTATCTGATTTTATATGTAAAGTCTCAAATACTTATCAAACTAAATAATTGCTTTCTATTTAGTGAAATTAAAGATTATTTTATGTGATACTGCATTGTTTTAATGTTTTACGATAAACAATGTGTAGCAAAGACTAAATTTTAAAAAGATGTTAATTTAAAAAATTGCAATTGGAAAGTCACTCCAAATTACTTATTCACTACCTTTTTCAGGATACATTTCATAACTTTCAATGATGTATTGCGGGTATTAATGCCCTATCTGGTTACCCTTGAAATATTATAAAGTTCCTTATAATTTTTGATTTCCAACAAAAATTATTATAGAAAACTGAATTTCCATGAGTTCTGAAATTAGATACTTTCTAAGTTAGGGGTTCCTGTACCATTATTTCTGGAGCACAACAGAATAACATTTTAATATCATTGTCTGGGAAAAGGTTAAAAAAAAAAAAAAACCTTCAGAAATCTCTGATCTGTGAAAATCAGTGTCTTCCCCTTCTTTTTACTCTCTTTCTCTCTCCTTTCTGTCTCCCTTTTCTTTACCACTGTCTCCTCTTTTTCCCTCCCCACAACACATACATACAAGCTATCTAGGGGGAAAAGACATTTGAAGTAGTAGAGTAGAATGTTGGTATTTTTATTACCACTATATTAACAGTCCAATACTGTTCTTAAATTAGTGCCTACTGTCCCTGTGGTTTTCAGGACTGTATTTTTGCATATAACACATCACTTAAATAATACACATCTGCATATAATGTGCATATCACATACAGAAAACTAACAGGGGGTTGTGCCGTTTGGAAAAAAAACTGACGTGCACATTATTTGAGTAAAAATGTGGTCATCTCCCTGAGTACACTAAGATTAAAATATGATTATGTAAGACATCACATCTGACGGTGGATTAATTAGCTAAATCAGTTTTAAAACTCATTCTAATTAGTAATAGTTAATGCATGTCTAATAATTTTTCTTTTTTGTCCTAATGAAATTCTAAGATAGCAGACAATTTTCAGTTAGGCTAAATTATTGAAGGCAAAAAATGGTGTGTACCATTTACTCTAATATTTGTGCTTTGGGGTTGCGATATTACTTTTCCCTTTGTTGTGCTCTTCTTCCCTAAACAATGTGCATCTTTCCACTTTTAGTGCACCCGACAAATTATCTCCGAGAAGCTAGGCCGTGGCTCAAGGACTGTGGACCTTGAACTGGAAGCTCAGATTGATATATTAAGAGATAATAAGAAAAAATATGAAAATATTCTCAAACTGGCCCAGACACTGTCTACCCAGCTTTTCCAGATGGTGCATACACAAAGGCAGCTTGGAGATGCATTTGCTGACCTGAGTTTGAAGTCACTAGAACTCCATGTAAGATCATTTTAAATAGCTATTATTGGTGAAATGATTATCTTATATCTAAGACATCTTTTGTTACGTTTATGATTTGATGAACTCTTTATAAGATTGGAGTTTTGATGTGTTCTTTTAAGATATCTCTATATAACCTTTAAGAAGTTCAGACTTACTTGTGCCAACAGAGTAATTCAGTTGCACCTTAGTCACACTCCACCAGACCAGCTGCACAGGGATGGCTCTGAGGAGCTAAGTTCGGAGAGGCAGAAAAAGCCAGGTTGATCGCAGAAGGTTTTATTGGGGAACTTGCAGATAGGTAACACCAAGATTTTTGTGGTGGACAGCAAAGGATGGAATCACCTGAGTAGACATCTATCAGAGCAGTGTGGAGTATGCATTTATATACTTAGTGCATATATGCAATGATATGTAGAGAGGAAGAAGGAGAAACCACGCCTAATCTGACAGATGGTGGTGTTGTTGTATTAGTTAATGGGGTTTAATTGATGTTACTGTGCAGTCAGGTGTTTGCTGTAGTTTTTTCCTTGACCCAGGTCATGTGCTCAGTAAAGTACTTTGGTTGTTTCCCAAAATCCTAAGTGGGAAGGATGTTAATGGCCATCCTGTTTGTTTCAGGGACAAAGACAGCATGATGTAAAAGAAAAAGAACATACTCAACTTGCCTTCTTATATAGTTTGAGAGATTAACCCTCAGTATTCAAATCCATCGGACTCAGTTTTAATTTTTTGATGTCTTGTTTGAGCAGTTCTAACCCTCTGTACTGTTGAATAAGCACTGGACTGCTAACGGTAAGGTCAGCAGTTCAAACCCACCAGCCGCTCCTTGGAAATCCTATACAAGGTCACTATGAGTCGGAACCAACTGAACAGCACTTAGCAAAAACAGTAACCATTCTCTACAAAGACTGAAATTTCATGAGTTTTATTCTTTTTGAGATATGGGAATTTTCACTTTTTAAAAATAGAATATAACTCTTTATTTTGTAGTTATATACCCAAAAGAAATGTGAAGAAACTATCTTTGTAGTTTTTTTGTTTGTTTTTTTTTTTTTGTAATGTCTATACAATATAGTTGAGATTTTAGAATTTTTCATTTTCTATCACAATGGCAAAGGGAAGACAGTAATGGAGTAAGACATTACATAATCACTAGATAAAGCAGATGATGACTTCGCAGAGACTCTAATGATGATGAGAAAATCAATAATGGAGGTAGAATCTCAGGCTATGAGCTTTCTGATGATAATATCCTAGGTGAATTTTCTTAAATTCAAGAACCAATAAATTAACAACATATTTTTAAAAACAAAAAGGAAATGTGGTTGGGTTTTTTTTATCCATTTGGTAATTCTACAGGAATGACTTCATCATGCAGTATTTTTTATATACCTATTTTGTTAAAAGGACATGTGATGTTATTTTATCTGTTTATGATGTTTATGTATTAAAATGTGCTTGGTATGGTTTGTTAGTAGACATATGCTAAAGGCAGATGTGTATACAAAGGTGGTATATAGAAAATAATGAAAAGATTTCATTAGGTCGAACATTCTAATCAATGTTTATAAAACTTAATGAAAATTATGGAACACAGAATACGGTTATATTGTTTTTCAACAAAAATATGAACTGTCAGTTTTCGTAAGTTTTGCATTTCAGTGATAAGAGTTCAATAAGATCCAAAAGTAATGATAAGTGAGAGATGATATTTGAAATCTAGAATCAGTATTTAGAAGAATTTATACAGGTTCCTGATTTTTAGTTTTATGATATAATTCACATACCATAAAGCTCACTTTTGTAATGTATACAATTCCCAAAATAGGATTTCTTTAAAAATAGAATTTTCTGTGTCCTTCAGGAGATTTTGCTTTTTTACTGAACTGTACATTGGTCACTACTATCTAATTACAGAACATTTTCATCACCCCAAAAAGAAGCTCCATATCCATTCGTTGTTGTTGTGAAGTGCCGTTGAATCAGTTCTGACCCATAGCGACCCTGTAAAGGGTTTCTAAGGAGCAGCTGGTGAGCTTGAACCACCGACCTTGCAGTTCAAACGGCTTTGCAGTCTGACGCATTAGCCCACAGCGCCACACCAGGAGTCCTATCCATCCTCTCCTGAGCCCCTGGGGAACAATAATCAATCTTGTATCTCTGTTGATTTGCCTATTATGGATATGTCGTATTTTTAAAATCATTAATATGTACATTTTTGCATCTGGATTCTTTCACTTAGGAAACTTTTTTCCCAAGGTCCATAATGTAGCATGTCTCAGTACTTTGTTCCTTTTTTTTTTTTAACAGTATAATATTCCTTGTAATATTCCAGTATGTCAACAAAGAACTGCCAAAAATTCAAGCAGGTTTCAAAAAAGAAGATGAAATGATGGATATCATTGCTGATGTCAGATGGATCTTTATTAAAAGCAGAGAATTCCAGAAAGATGTTTGTGTTTTATTGACTATGTAAAGGAATTCAGCTGTGTGGTCCATAACAGATTATGAATAAAAACATTGCGAAGAATGGGAATTCCAGAACGCATCATTGTGCTCATGCAGAACTTGTACCTAGACCAAGAGGCAAGCATTTGAACAGGACAAGGGGATACTTGTTGTTGTTGTCAGGTGCCATCGAGTCGGAACCGACTCATAGCGACCCCATGCACAGCAGAACGAAACAATGCTCGATCCTGGGCCAACCTCACCACCTCTGCCACCCCCGAGTCCATCAATGATGCCACCTGGCCGATCCATCTCGTTGGAGGTCTTCCTCTTTTTCTCTGACCCTCCACCCTACCCAGCATGACATCCTTCTCCAACGATTGTTTCCTCCGGACTACATGTCCAAAGTAGGAGAGACGAAGCTTAGCCATCCTGGCCTCCAAGGAGCACTCTAGCTGCACTTCTTCCAAAACAGATCTATTGGTTCTTTTGGCAGTCCATGGCACCCTCAGTATTCTCCTCCAACACCACAACTCAAAGGCATCAATTCTTCTACGATCCTCCTTATTCACTGTCCAGCTTTCGCATCCATATGAGGCTATTGAAAACACAATGGCCTGGGTCAGGCGCACCCTAGTCCTCAAGCTGACATCTCTGCTCTTCAATACTTTAAAAAGTTCCTGTGCAGCAGATTTGCCCAGTGCAATACGTCGTCGGATCTCTTGACTGCTACTTCCGCGAGTGTTGATAGTTGATCCAAGAAGAATGAAGTCCTTGACAACTTCAATCTTTTCTCCATTGATAAGAATGGGGATACTACATGGTAAGAAAGGGGATACTACATGGTTTAAAATCAGGAAAGGTGTCCATCAGGGTTGTATTCATTCACCATACATATTCAGTCTGTATGCTGAGCAAATAATCTGAGAACTTGGACTATATAAAGAACATGGCATCAGGATTGAAAGAAGATTCATTAACTATCTGCCATATGCAGATGACACATCATTACTGGCCAAAAGTGACGATGACTTGAAGTACTTACTGATGAAGATCAAAGACAACAGCCTTCAATATGGATTGCAACTCAAAATAAAAGAAACATAAAAGTCACAGTTGGACCAGTAAGCAACATCATGATAAACTGCAATTGAAGTTGTTGAGGATTTCATTTTACTTAGATTCACAATCAACTTCCATGAAAGCAGCAGGCAAAAAATCAACAGGATGTATTATTACATTGGACAAATCTGCTGCAAAAACAAACAAACAAAACAAACTCACTGCCATCAAGTAGATTTTTAACTCATAGTGACCCTGTGACCCTACATAGGAAAGAATAGAATGGCTCACTAGGGTTTCCCAAACTGTAAATCTTTACAGGAGCTTTTGTTGTTGTTATTAGGTACCATCAAGTCATAGTGGTACCGACTCTTAGTGACCTTATGTACTACAGACTGGAACACTGCCCAGTCATACACCAACTTCACAGTTGTTACTATGCTTGAGCCCACTGCCACTGCCACTTTGACAATCCATCTCTTTAGGGGTCTTCCTCTTTTTCACTGACCCTCCACTTTAACAAGCATGATATCTTTCTCCCACGACTCGTCCCTCCTGATAATATGACCGAAGTATGAGAGGTGAAGTCTGGCCCATCTGGGTTTCTCAGAAGCGTTCTGGCTGTACTTCTTCCAATATAGATTTCTTTGATCTTTTGGCAGTCCATGGTACTTTTTATATTCCCCTCCAACACTATAACTCAAATGCATCAATTCTATTTACTGCCTAGCTTTCACATGTATATGTTGTTGTTAAGTGCTGTTTAGTTGGGTTCCGACCCATAACGACCCTGTATAGGGTTTCCAGGGAGCTACTGATGAACTTGAACTGCCAACCTTGTAGTTCATACCGACTTTACAGTCTAGCACATTAACCCACAGTGCCACACCAGGACACCCACATGTATATAAGGTTATTGAAAATATCATGGCTCAGGTCAAGCACATCTTAGTCCTCAAACTGACATATTTTGCTCTTCAACACTTTAAAGAGGTCTTATACAAAAGATTTTCCTAGTGCAATACGTGAGTTGATTTCTTTACTACTGCTTCCATGCGTGTGGATGGTTGATCTGAGTAAAATGAAAACTTTGAAAACTTCAGTCTTATCTCCATTTATATAGATATTTTTTACTGATCCAGTTGTGGGGATTTTTGTTTTCTTTAAATTTAGGTGAAACCCATACTCACAGTTTGTTTTTTGATCTTCATCAGTAAGTATTTTAAGTCCTCTTTGCTTTCAGCAAACAAGTTTGTAACATCTGCATATCACAGGTTGTTAATGAATCATCCTCTAACCCTGATGCATACTTTTCTTTATATAATCCAGCTTCTATGAATATTTGCTCAGCACACAGAATGAGTAAGTATGGTGAAAGAATACAACCTTGGCACATACCTTTCCTAATTTTAAACCATTCAGTGTTCCCTTGTTCTGTTCAAACAGTTGCCTCTTGGTCTATGTACAGGTTCCTTATAGAACAATTT